AGAGAGAGAGAGAGAGAGAGAGAGAGAGAGAGAGAGAGAGAGAGAGAGAGAGAGAGAGAGAGAGAGAGAGAGAGAGAGGGGTGGGGGGCAACAAAAAAACGGGCGCGCGGGCGATTGGAGGGGTGGCCGGCAACACCGAAGTAGGCGGTCGGGGCAACAAAAGCAGACGGGCGGGCGATTCGGCGCTTCCGGTACCAACCGACGACCGTGGAGGAGTGGTCGGGCCAGGCCACGATTACGGGCGGACCGTCGGGCGAACGATTGGAGGGGTGGGCCACAATTACGGGCAGACGATTGGAGGGGTGGGCGGGCCTGCAATTCGGTGCCTCCGGTAGCGGTCGGCAGAATCTGAAATCTGACGCAGCACGGCCCGAATATCAGGCCGATCAGAAAACTTTCTGATCGGCCTGCGATCCACGCCGTCCGCGGCAGTTACCGGCCTGCGATTCGGCCCTTGCGATATGACGTTTAGCAGTTATTATAGTTTTGTAGAAATATACAAACATACCACTTTTTTACGTACGAATACAGCAGCAGACCCATTCGATGAAGTAAGTACTTGGCCTAATCCATCCCTTGTCAATCAGATCCTTTAGTTTCTCACCAAGGTCCTCTACACCTTACCGGTTTCCATCCATTTTTGGGGAGAATCATTGCAGACTGATGTCCTGCCTACATGACCTAGATCTAGACTCTTTTCAGGCTGTATTCAGGCCATTACCTTCTAGGCCTCTCTCGTAGGCCTAATGCACCTCAGGAAATCACCTCCGCCTTAGATTGCCTACCAAAAGTGCTATCGTTTTGTTAATTGTCTACCTACACGTACTACTTGATTTTGGCCGCCTCAGGCTTTCCTACCCCTAGCCTACTGCAGTCTACTAGCCCTTTTACTCGCTCCACAGGCCAACAATACAGCAAAGGGTGCTAGTACCAGGCCTGAGAGGGCCAACCCAACACACAGGCCATTATTCCCAGTCACGCACACAGAGACAGAAAGCCAGACATAGGGAACACAGATATCAGCAACTACCATACCATAAACAGACTCATGCAGGAGGAATCCCGATGGACACACAGGATCATAGTCTGCAACTTTCCCAGTTACTGCAACTATTCATACCGCTACGGTAAGAAGTTACAAAGGAAAAATCTTGAATCAAGGCTGTCCACAGTCCATCTGGCCCATGGCTCGAATCATTGCAAGAAAGTCATAAATCCTAGATGTGGGTCGTAACATCCTACTGCGCCGATGGCCAGTATAGTCATGCAAGAATGTAGCAGATACTGAATCTGAGCCGTCGTGTCTGGATCTTCACACCATCTTAAGATTTTGGATTGCACGGCAATCCAGGCAGTTGCCCGGGTACTACAGGGTCGACTGCCCAGATGCACGTAGAATTCTTGTCGGTACCCGTAGGCCTCCTAAATGGTACCTGTAAGCCTATTGCCGCCTCCTATAGCTTCCCTCATAAAACGCACTGCTGCCATTGTCTTCCCTCCCTCACAGCTTGTGTGTGCGTGTGCATGTGTATTCTGCCAATAAAGAACGAGGTAAACCATTATCTTGGATCCTCCGTATTCGAATCGCTGAGAGTATGCCAATCTGCATTAGAAGCATGTCTCCCTTCTCTTCCTCCTCCTCCTCCCCCTGCTAACCCTGACTCTCCATCTTTCGACATCCTATGGCAATATCCAACTGCACCTACTTTACCAATCTCTTTCCCACCATGGCGACCTCCCCCGCCCCACTGACTTTTCCTCACAAGGATCTTGAGATTGTGAACTCCAACTCCAGCTCCCATCAGTGCGAACTTCCCCCCGCCCTGATTGTGTGCCATCATTTTCAATCTCCCGCAGGAGTATCATGCGTTGAGTCCAGACGATCAGCTTATGCCGAGTTTTGTTGATTTGCATGTGTGACACACACACACACACACACACACACACACACACACACACACACACACACAGATTACTTTGGTTTCTATCAGTGAGTAGAGGAGGAGAACAGGAAGAAATATAACAGTGCTGACGGCAGGAGGAAGAAGAAATGGTGAAGGCATGGGGGGCTATTGTGGTCTCATTTTTCTTTTCGTTTACTAATTCATAATGCCCTTTCCATTCCGCTTCACCCTGCTCATCCCCCCCAAACCGTCTTCCATCTCTGTGTCCTCCTCCACGGCATCCTTCTTTCCACTTCCTCCTCCATGTCGAACTATGGATATGTCCAGTTCCATGTGGAAGCCTCGGAGGCCAATATCCTCCTGCCTCCAGGAGAGCACAGGAAAGGACAAGAACAGAGAAATGATGATGATTCAAGATAAGATGGGAGGATGAAGAGGGGTGTGAGGAGAGATTAAATCATGATGCTAACAACAAGAGGGGGGTACGAAGATCAGGATGCTGACATCAAGAACGTGGAGGGAAACCGGGAGGGAGTGGAAATCCTGGGAGGAGGTGGCAGGGGTGAAATCGTGGGCGCGATAGATCTCCGAAACGACGAAGGAGAAGAAAAGAGGATGAGATGTGCCAGTGAAGCATCACAATAGATATTCCGGGATGGGAATCATGAGAGAAGGTGGGAAGAACATCACAAAAGGACTAGAAAGGAGGAAGTGGGATCGGGGTGGGAAGTGCAAGATTGCAGGAGGGGGGAAAGCCGAATTGCAAAAACGGAATCGGGTAGTAATGCAGATGGAAGAAAACTCAGAATTGCAAAAACGGAATCGGGGGAGCAAGAGCGAGAGAGAGAGAGAGAGAGAGAGAGAGAGAGAGAGAGAGAGAGAGAGAGAGAGAGAGAGAGAGAGAGGCATCACGAGAGGAAAGCAAGATGTCAACGGTGGGGACTAAAAAAGTGAACATCCATGATGCTCATCAGCATCATGATTACACGAGACAAAGGAACTATGGGGACCAGAATGCACATCATGCCCATGATATCCTATCATCATGATATCATAAGATCATATCAGCTAAAACGAGGGTATGGTGACGGCCTGAAGCATGGTTGTACACGATGATGAAGATTTTTGACTAGCTTACCTGTTGCAGCTCCGCCCGCAAAAGCAGGTGGAAATTGGACAAATAAAAGCAAATCGCACGAGGGGTGTGGTGGCCTGAGTGCAGTTGCAACTGGCCTTTTCTGTCCAAAAAACTTTCACATCTAATACCTTGAAACCATATCTCTCTCTTGCGGCGTAAGAAGTATTCTCTTTCATAATATCATATGTAAAAAAACATGCAATTCTTCGCACTTGCAGGAATTCTTTCCACTTTGTTTTTCGTTTTTTTCTTTAAGAATAAAAGCCAGCCACCAAAAAACTACCTCTGTGCGTGTCTGTGTGTGTGTGTGTGTGTGTGTGTGTGTGTGTGTGTGTGTGTGTGTGTGTGTGTGTGTGTGCGTGTGTGTGTGTGTGTGTGTGTGTGTGTGCGTGTGTGTGTGTGTGCGTGTGTGTGTGTGTGTGTATGCTGCATCTCACGACCCCCCATCATGTTCCTCAAACACCCTCTACCTTCCCCTGCACCCGCTCCTTCCCCATTCCCACGTATATGACATGACCCTTCCGAGCTCCCCTTTCCCTAAGCGTTAGCATGTTGTGATACCCCTCACCTCCCCGGGCTCCCCCCCGATCCGACATATATGACATGAACTTTCCGAACTCCCCACTTTACCCAACCATCAGCTTGTTGCGAGACCCCTCTCTCTCTCTCTCTCTCTCTCTCTCTCTCGAGCGCGCACCCCTTGGTTGGTATGTGGCATGTGCACTCGGTCGCTGAATCTGGGGCTTGGTTTAATGCGGCGTGTGCAAGCGGGGTTCAATAATAAAAGGACGACGGGGTTTAAGAAACAATCTCTCTCTCTCTCTCACGCGCGCGCGCGAGTGCTCGCTCACTCGTGCACACCCGTGCGCGCCCGGGATATTGTAATCCGGCGTTCGCCGTTCAGTAATAAAACAAAAAGAATGGAAAACAAAAATGATAAGTTCAACATGTAAAAAGCTTAGCAGCAACGTGCGTTTGTGTGTTGTGGGCTAGTCGGTGGGTATACATGAGTGCAAATGTGTGTGTTTGTGTACGGAGTCGAAGTCAAGCGCAGTAGTGTAAATTCACATCATAGAGAGTCGCCCGCAGTGCCGTAGAGTACCAGAGAGAGAGAGAGAGAGAGAGAGAGAGAAGTCCAGCGCAGTAGTGTAAATTCACATCATAGAGAGTCGAAGCCCGCAATAGTGTAGAGTACCATAGAGAGAGAGAGAGAGAGAGAGAGAGAGAGAGAGAGAGAGAGAGAGAGAGAGTAGCAAAGTCGAGTGTAGATAGTCAAGGTCGAGTGAGAGCATAAGGAGTCGAAGTCGAGCGCAGTGGTCTAGAATCGGGTCGTAGAGAGTCGAAGTGCAGTAGAGTAGATTCGCATCGTAGAGTCATAGAGTACCAGAGAGAGAGAGAGAGACAGCGAGAGAGAGAGAGAGTAGCAAAGTCGAGCATAGATAGTCGAGGTCGAGCACTTCTTCTTCTTCTTCTTCTTCTTCTTCTTCGTCGTCGTCGTCGTCCTCTTCTTCTTCGTGCTCCGCCATAACGTTTCTTCTTTCACCTCCTTGCTCTGCCATAGCGATTCCCTCTCTCCTCCCTCTTCCTCCGCCAGTCTCCCTCCCTCCACATAGTCTCCCTTTCTCCTTCCTCCGCTATCTCCTCCCTCCACATCAGCCACCCTCCATCCACAGTCTCCCTCTCGCCCCTATCCTCCATCAATATACCTCCGTCCACGTACTCTACCTCTCTCCTTCCTCCGCCGTAGCTCCCTCTCTCTTCCTCCACATAAATCTCCCTTCCTCTGCCATAGTCTACCTCCCCCCTCCTCCTCCTTATCAGTCTCCCTTCCCCCCCCTCCTTATCAGCCTCCCTCCCTCCCTCCTCCATAGTCTACCTCCCCCCTCCTGCAAAATGGAGAACCCCTGCACACCCTCCCCCTGTCCCCCACCCCCCACCTCGACACACTGAAACCGATATGCCTGAAAAAAAACAATGAGGCCGGATTTGGGGAGTATTTGGAGAGCACAGCAAGGCCCCACAGACCAAAAAAAAACAAACAAACATTTTGGTGGATTTTTTTCATGCCCAGGGTACCCCGGGCGAGGTCCCTACCCGAGCGAGCGTACCCGGCCAGGGAAAGCTAGATGCATATCCCATATTCTGTTAAAATGAGTCGCCTGCAAGTGTCTCTCCCTCGGCTATTCAATCTCCCATCCCTCGAGAGCCAAGACGAACAAGAAACACCCCTCTAACTTTGCAGATTGTGGGGACACAGGCGCGCGCGCGCGCGACACACACACACACACAAAGAGAGAGAGAGAGAGAGAGAGAGAGAGAGAGAGAGAGAGAGAGAGAGAGAGAGAGAGAGAGAGAGGGCACGAAGAAAACTGCTAGCCTGAAGCAATATTTCCCCTTCCGCGGCGTAACCGCTACGCCGCGACTGGTTTACTTGTGTTTTTTTTTTTTATGTTGCAATCTTGGCCAATTTTGAAGTATACATTCATCAGAAAGTACAACGTCGTCCGATTGCAAAAAGAAATGAATGAACTTGAAAGGAGAGAGAGGGAAAGAAGAAGAAGAAGAAAGAAGAAGACAATGTACTCCAGCATAGCCCAAAGATAATGCTCTTCTTCTTCGCCAACCAATCCCCTCCTCCTTATCTCCTCCCCTCTTATTCAAACAAGAAATAACAATAACAATGTTGAATAGTTGAACCAGTTTTTTTTTTAACTGAGTTTGGCAAAATAGAATCTGGAGTCGTGGACCACTATAAGGGCACTTACAGTCAGTAGACTCAGTATGCTATACGGGACCTTATGGTCATGTTTTAAAAAACAACATGAGCACGTTACGGTAAACATGTTTTTGGCAAAATAGAATGTGGAGTCGTGGACCATGTTACTTCTATGGTCATGTTCTTTCTGCAAAAAAAAAAGTGTCTTGATAGGAGGACCTCGTTTTCTCGTAGATGGCAGTTCACAACGGTTGCAACCTGGGTTGCACAGCGTACACATATGTGGGGTCCGCGGACGTGCATACTCGTATGCACGTACACGCATACTCAAAAATAGGGCCCTCATACGTGGTCGTCGCGGGCCATTACTGTGCCCGTTTTTGGCCGTGGTACCAATTGGGGAACTTCGGGAGACTAGGCGAGGTCAGGGGGATAACAGGAGGAAGGGGTCGGATCGGGGGGTGCACCGTCCCCCCCCGATTTTGAAATTCGGGACCTGGGGTAACGTGGGGTAGGTCGGGGGTTGCATCGTCATTGCTCGAGGAGGAGTCGCCATCGCCCGAGCGGGAGTCACCATCCCCCGAGGACGAGGAGTCGTCAGCGCCCGTGCAGCCGTCGTTGCCATTGCCCATCGCGTGTGCAGTGTCACCATCACCCGTCGTGTGCGCAGTCGCCGTCGCCGTCGACATCGCCCATCAAGTGTGCTGCCGTCGTCGCCCGGGGAGGAGGAGCACAATGCCCATGACCCGTTGGTTGTTGTCGTGGCCATCACCCTGAAGGTAAGTTCATGCCACTTTTGTCCTCCTCCACCTCCCTGTAACGTCATGTTTTTTTGTCACCTATGGGAGGAGGAGGAACCAGATCGCGATGGGGAGGACGAGGAGGGGGAATATCTTCCTCCTCTCCTCCTCCCCCTCCTATACATTTACACACTACATATTATACATATACAATCTACACACACACACACATATATATATATACAGATATAAACATGTACGCGTATGCGGGTTGTCGGACGTCTAAGTGTACGTTTACGTGGTGCTACCCAGGTTGCAACATTTCAATTTCTTTCTCCGTAGGTGGATGTTGCCAGAACAACCAGCTATTTAGGACCTTTTGCATCACTTGTAGGCTGTTGCGTCATTCGCATGGCTAAGGGGGAAGCTTCCGAAGGATTCGCCTAATCAATGTTTGCCATCACCGACCATGTGATCACACTACCCTAAGAAAATTAAGCAAATTTAAACCATCAAGGGCTTAATTTTGGCTGGCAAGGGTTCAGTGGTTCGGCGATGAACGTGGTAACCTCACTGCCAACCTCACTGTCGTGTCAGACGAGTAATCTCTGACCTTATTAGTTCACTATATGCAACCTCACTGTTGTGTCAGACGAGTAATCTCTGACCTCATTACCTCACTATATGCAGGAAAGTCCTAACCTATTTATTGAATGAAATGAAATTCAATACATATTAAATATTAAATACACAATGGATAATCAGC